TAAAACACACATCAAGGACATTCCTAATTGTTGGGTGGCCCTTTGCAATCACTGGCCCAAGAGCTCCAAGCAGAAGATACTATACAGGGTGGTAAAGGTAGACATCTGAGGCCCAAATCACCAAAGCTGGACTCATCTTTGGACAGGGTTGTCTCAGCCAACCATAGGAAAGAACCAGACAAGCTAAGTCTAAGTCCAGTCTCAGGAGGCAGAATCTAGTCCCAATTCCTATAGAACAAAGCAAGTGGTCAGTCTAGAGGCTGAACCAGCTGCCACACAAAAGCTGAGCTCTAGGGTCAAAAGTGAGGAGCTTCTAGACACTTCTAGAAACTGCCCCTCCCCTAACACAGAGAGGGAAGGAGACAGGTGTAACATCAGTGGGATAACCTGATAGAGCATAAAGTGATAGGACAGGAAAGGGCACTCCTGAGAAGATACCCCTAATGATCTGCATGCAGGACTGGGGCTCTGCTGATCCTGTCTTCCTTTCTAAAGGACAGTACAAACACAGCATTGTAATCCCAACAATGGCCTGGACAGAGCCTAGCCATAGCAGAAAGATGATTATTTCCCCCTATTGTTTGCTTTTAGCTCTAGGCAGCATCCCCCCCAAATCATGAACTCAAACTAGAGGTTTTCACCATTTCTACTGGTGAAAGTCAACTGAGATCAGTACAGTCCAAATAACGCAAAACAGCACCCTGGAGAGAAGAGCCAAATGTGCTGTATTGTACCCAGTCCTCCTAGGGAACAAGCAGGGGCGGCCCATGCCAAAGCCTCAGTGGGTTGAGCCTTTCTGGCTGATTGCCACAGCGAGGGGTGGGGAGTACTTCAAAGTCCCTGAATTCATTTCTATCCAAAGGAAAGTTTGAAAAGCTCTCCATCTCCAAAAATAGTCTTTTCCAATGATTGTCCAAAAAAACATGTTCAAGAGCGATTATACCCACTCGCCAGGCAGAGCAATTCTTTATCTTGAGTCTTGTCTTGGAAAATGTTTTGGTGTCCACGGGACCTATGACAATAGCCTGCAAGCCTTCTAAAATCTTATGCAATTCATCTCTGTCTCTCAGAGCGACCAACACGTGGCTTTGCACATGGTAGATACATGCGAACAGGTGGACTGAAAGCAGTCTTCTCATGGGCTTTTAAAAAACTAAAATAAAACAAAAAGAAAATCTCAAAGTCTCCAACCTGATTTTAAAACAAAACAATACAAAAAACCACCTTTTTCAGAAAACCACCAGATGAACTGTACCTCTGATCCCAATCACTGCTACTCAGCTTCCCTCCCCCATGTATCTCTCTGGTGTGAAATTTATTATTCTGCACCTGTTGGCAGTCTGTTCTTAATATTCAGGGGCATTTCACAGTGATATGCGTGTTGCTGGATGGCAGGAATTGCTCATCCTCAATTACTTCCATCTCCCCACAATGCCAGGAATAGTGTCTTGGTCATGGAAGTGACTCAATCGTGATTGCTAAATAGCCAATTTCATTTGTAATTTCCGAGACAGCTCCAGGAGGGGAGGCAAAGAAGACCCATGTAATTAATAGATGGACTCGACCAACGTTTTTGTTCCAACAATTAAGTATGGAGCAGAAAGTCTCAGTGCCCTGCAGAACCCCACCACAGGCTGTGGGTACATTCACATCCACCTGTGTGCAGGTATCTTGAACTGCCCCCAAACATTCCTTTCTGTCACTGAGCTACCAGCACTTTCAAATGCTTCTAAAACAAACAAGAGTTAAAGACTATCCTTTGGTAGAGCCCTGCCGCACTCCATAGCCCCAAATGCTTGCATGGAATCAGATCTGAGATGAATAAGACAATGACAAGCTTCAGACAACCGGCTCAGGAGCCCTGTGGAAAGCATCTCCAACATGTGGTCATTTGTCCTTTTGACTCAACACTGCTTCTGACAAGGAGCCAGCAACCCCTGACAGCCCATTCCACTTCAGTGTCCTGCCTGTTAGAATATTCTTCCTTGGGCTAAGCTAAACTAAAAACTATTTGTAAATGCCACCCATCGGTTCTAATTTTGCCCTCTGGAGCCACATAAAGTAACTCTTAAAGCCTCTTCCACACAACAATCTTTAATGGGCTGAAGACAATATTCTTCACAATTCATCCAAATAAAAACCTTATTGTATGATTCTGTAATGAACTGGAAATTGCGTTTTCCTGTCCAACTGGTTTAGGAGACTCCCCCCCGGCAGAGCCCCGAAGGTAATACACAACCACACTTTATTTAACGAAAGACAGAGAGCGCCCCTTGTTCCTTAGCCTGGTAACAGCCAAAGTCGTTCATCACCCACTTGGTCCTTTTTGAAATTCACTCTGCAGCAAGCACTTTTTAAAGTCATGCACGTAATGCATTTTAAAGAGCATTTTCTGCACAGATCCATTTGCTCGACCTCGGCACTAAGTGCAAGATGGAACAGTATTTTAGCGCAGTTCCCTGTTCTTCCTGGAGTCTGTGTTGAATGCACACCAAAACATATTTGTAGCTATACATGAGTGGGGATGGAAAATGCAGTGTTTTGTTAAATGTTCCTTTGCTGATTAAAATGCATCTTGCAAAGAAAGTGCATTGCTAATGCAGAAACTTGTCCAAAAATATGTATTATATAATTCATATTTTTTTTAATAATGCAGGCGATCTCTGTGTATCTATATTAGTGAGTCGGCTCTGGTCTGTCATCTCCTAATAGGCATAAAGCACTGCATCTAAAGAATGAAGGACTACCCATGCACATGAACACATCCTAACCTGCCTCACTGCTGACAGCTGGCATTAGCTGCCATTGAAAGGGCTTTTATTGCACCCAAATGTTTCTGATTTTTTTCCCTCAACATGCCCTGAAATCAGCTTGACCAATGTCTTTATATTTTGTACTCTGTCAGTGAAGCTATGCTAACTGAAAGAAAGTGGTAGGTCAACATGAACAGACCCTTTAGAAACATCCCCCATTAGTCGGGGCTGCAAGGTGGGGTATCAGGATTTGAAATATACAGCTCCAAATGCCCCTGGTCTAGTGTCACATAATAATACCCACATGATTAGAACCATGCTGGCATGAGTGATAATAAAACCCTCCAGAGTTTCTCTGCAGAGTGTTTGAGTGGGGCACAACTGGAATCTGGATGACTGTCCTTTTATGGCGTTTGCCAAATCAATGCCACTTTATTAGACCAATCAGCATTTTAATGCTACAAATTGACATCTAGAACAAGAGGTGCAATATAGATGCAGCCACGATCCAGAAATGAAAAACAACCATCAAAAGCAGTGGCTAGAATCTCACTAAAGTCTTAGCTCTGCCTCTGGCTGCTTTAATACAAGCCTGGCGTGGAGGGTGTGAGGGCAACCCCTCACATCCCATGGTACAGGTGAGTATTCAGTCCTGTAAAGGAGCACCAGGAGGGAATGCCTGGTGGACCAGCTCAAAAGGGAAGCAGAAGATGCTAAGAGGCAGAGCTTCCTCCTCCAGTTGTCCACATTGACTCAAGGAGAAAAAAGCCTAGCCCGTGACACATGTTTCAAGTGAAGCACCCTTGTTGACATATCATAGATTCCAGGAAGATGGTCTTGCTCTGAGATTTATCTCCTTTGGTCTTGTCATCATGGCAAAGGAGCACTCTGTATTTAACAGGAAGGACAAGGCTGAAGACACACATACTCCAAAAGAAGCAGTGACATTATAGATGGAACTCAAAGAATTCCCCACCACAGGAATGTCCTCCTGTCCCTGTGGAGCTCATTTGATTTTCCAGGGCTGGGAAAGTGGGACTAGCTTACTCCAACTCTTCAGCCTTCAGAGTTCAACACCATGATTGGTGGGCCTGGCTGCCCCCTTGCCCTAATGCTCTGATTGATCTGTTTTTCCCCCCTTTCATGTAGAATTCAAGCTGAATTAAACAATGATGGAGGGAGGTGATAAGAAGATATTCTTTAAAAAAAAATATTTTTTTAGTTTTTAAGTGGACACATTATTTTGTTTTTATGTGGTGGTGCTGAGGATCGAACCCAGTGCCTCACACATGCTAGGCAGGCGCTCTACCACTGAGCCACAACCCCAACCCTGGTGATTTATTAATATTCTGATTAATAGCATATCAACCCTCAATATCCTCTCCTTAATACAAGACTTTTGTTATTTGCTACTCTGCCTTTGGCACCTACAAGAGCTTGACATGTTCTGAGCACTCAATGAGTATTTGTTGAATGAATTCTAAGGGGTATCCAGTGAGGATTCTGATATCTGATAGCTCCCTGAAGAGGACCTTAGGGACAAAGAACTGGTTGTATAGACTGACCAAGAGTGCAGGAAAGCCTTCCCTCATTCAGTGATCCAGAACACCTTCCCTGGACAGCTCACCAGGGGCCAACCATGGGTTTACAGACTGCAGCAGTGGGTGGGTGGAGGGGGGGAAGCTTTCTTAAGGAAGATATTCATTTGTCCATGAAGTAACTAGCCATTTCAGACTGCACAGAGTGTACATTTTCTGGAAGCTTCTCTAATTATAGTCACTATAACAGATCTGCCAAAGGTGGTTTCATGATTAATGACTGCCTGAGGTTACCATCCTCAAACTATTAAGCCCTTGGAAAATGCCTGGGGCTGGATCATTAATACTCACGTATGGCCCCTCATTCCTGCCCCCCCAACCGCCCCGAAATTTGCACTTTTGCGGTCTGGTTTTTAGCTGCTCAAAGGTTATGCTCACTTCATTGAGAAGGTGGGGAGAGGGACTGACCTCAAGAAGAATCCAGACCCAGCTACCCAAGTACTCCAACCTGTGGCTAGCTCGCCTCTCGGTGGTTCAAGGATTGGTACTCATCAGGCCCCCCGCCCATTGCTTTGCCCAAATCCTTTCAAACAAGGTTCCCTCCTGCCACCTGCCGGCCCACCAGGGTCTGCGCCACCAGCTCCGCGCCACAGAGCAGCTCGCGGGGAGGCGGCCCCCACCTCTCTACTGCACATGCCCGGCAGAACTCCGGGCGCGCAACTTCGCAGATCCTCACCGCCCCATCTCTCCTCGCCTCAGTCTCCTCTTTCCTCTCCTAGGCGAGAGGACCAGCGGAGGCACCTCTCTCGGGTCTTAGACTGCGGTCTTAGACTTAGCGAGAGGAGCCTGGGAGGAGACGGACCTTTTCTTCCCCTTTCCCATTCTTTCTTTTGGCTTGGAGAGGCAAGCAGAGGCGCGGAGCTTTAGAAAGTTCTTAAGTGGTCAGGAAGGTAGGTGCTTCGGTTTTTCGCCTCACAACCGAGGTAGAAGTGGGACCTCCGGACCCAGCTTCTCACCTCGGAAGGTGCACTTTTCTCGGCTGCAGCAGCCAATGCGCATCGGAGCCGCTCTCTGCAGAGCCAGAGGGCGCGTTGGTTTCTCGGTGTGCGCCTAAGAGGATGGATCGGAGGTCCCGGGCTCAGCAGTGGCGCCGAGCTCGCCATAATTACAACGACCTGTGCCCGCCCATAGGCCGCCGGGCAGCCACCGCTCTCCTCTGGCTCTCCTGCTCCATCGCGCTCCTCCGCGCCCTTGCCACCTCCAACGCCCGCGCCCAGCAGCGCGCGGCCGCCCAGCAGCGCCGGAGCTTCCTTAACGCCCACCATCGCTCCAGCGCCCAGGTATACCCTGATTCCCCCGAATCGGAATCTGACCACGAGCACGAGGAGGCAGAGCTTGAGCTGTCTCTCCCCGAGTGCCTAGAGTACGAGGAAGAGTTCTACGAAACCGAGACCGAGACCGAGTCCGAAATCGAGTCTGAGACCGACTTCGAGACCGAGCCTGAGACCGCCCCCGCCTCTGAGCCCGAGACCGAGCCGGAAGACGAGCGCGGCCCCGCAGTGCCCAAGGGCTCCACCTTCAACCAATCTCTCACCCAGCGTCTGCAGGCTCTGAAGTTGCAAAGCTCCGACGCCTCCCCAAGTCTCGCGCAGCCCACCACTGAGGAGTCGGAGAGCCCCAGCGAGGGGGAGGAGCCCGAGCCTGAGGACAAGGATACGAGGGACCCCGAAGAGTCTGAAGAACCCAAGGAGAAGAAGCAGCAGCGCCGCTGCAAGCCAAGAAAGCCCACCCGCCGCGACAGGTCCCCGGAGTCCCCTTCCAGAAGGGGACCCATCCCCATCCGGCGTCACTAATGGAGGACGTCGTCCAGATTCTCCTTGTTTTCATGGATTCAGGTTAGTTGCACAAGGCTAAACTGGGGAGCCTGAGGGCAGTGTGGGCGCCGCGGGGAGGAAGGGAGAGAGAAGGAAAAGCCAGGTTAGGGGCAAGGTGGGAAGAGAGCAGGATTGTACCAGAACGGAGGGCCAGGGTGAGGAGACAAGTGCTCCCAGATCTTCGCAATGTGCTGGGGCCGCCCGGGTGGTCTAAGGCTTGTTTGACGGCGGGGAGCTCCTTGCGCCTCGCTGGAGACAACCTGAGGTCTCCGAGGGTGCCGAGCGGGTGACTGAATACTGAGCGCACCCCAGGTTTCAAGCTGCGCACCGAAAGGACAGTGGTAAGTAACTTGTTTTAAGCGTTTTTTTTCCCTTCTAGAAAAATTAGTGTCAAACAAGTTGGCTTTGGCGGGCGCCCGAAATGTGGTTCGGAGGTGCGCGCGCCAACTTTCCGGATTCAGGAGCTGCCGCGCAGTAGCGACACTGTTGCAATGTGAGAAAAGTAACCAGAATGGGATTGGGCGAAAACTCCGGAGACTGCCGGCTCCGGAGGGAAGTCGCAAGCGCTCACCGCGCCTAACAGGCTCGGAGCCTGGAACCCAGGTCCCAGGGCTGCCAATTTGGAGCCCTGGGACCTCGGCGCCTGTGTCCCCCCTTCTGCGGTGCACCAGTCTTGGACACCACCGCCTGCCTTCAAGCGCTAGCGGGACCGGAGGTCTTGGAAAAGAGCGTGCGCACCTGTCTGTGCGCCCCAGAGTCAATTTCTCAGCTGACCGCACCTTCCGGCGAGTACTGGTACTTGGAGGGCAGGCAGTGGAGATGCAGGGGTCTTTGGGGTGTTCCTGTGGGCTCCCAGGGTAGGTAGCGCCGGCTTTGTCACGTCGGGGTATCTCCAATCTTTTGGCTCAGCTGGAAGACGGCGGTGCTGGGCGCAGCTTGGCTGGAGAGGTCCTAGGCTCTTTGCGCATGGCCCTAGAAGCGGGAGAGAAGGGCTGAGATCCGCGAGGTGGTCGCGAGCGGGAAGGTAAAGCGAAATAAGAAACAGGCTGGAGTGGGGGGTCGCGTCTATCTTCAGGACATCGTACAATGCGTCCCCAAAGAGCGTGGCTCTAGCCAAGTTGGGGAAAGGTATTGGATCGGCACGCCAGTCCTTGGGCGTTGAGAGGGGCAGGGGCTGGCGGCTTCGGCAGCCTTTGGGGAGGAGAGGCGGCGCGCTCCGGCCATGCTCCGGCCATTTTTGGTCGGGTAGAGCTAAGTTTGGAATTTGTAACCTGGGGGAAATTACCCCGGTGATCGCCGCGGCAATCTGGCAACACACCTTGGTATGCCTTTCTCTCCTGTTGGGGTGCGTTTGTGGGTGGGGGGATTAATAAGTGACACGTATTTATAAAATTTCACCTGATTTGGAAACTGATTTTTTTTTTTTTTTTTGGCGTGCGCGCGTGCGTCTGCTCTTGCACGGGTTTGAGTGATTCTAATAGGAATCATTTGCGGGGAAAATGAAGCGTTTTGATGGCTTGTGAAATGTAAGAAAAAGGATATTGCTAGAAGGAAAACTCTTTTTAAGTGGTCTTCCTTCCAGAACCTCTGCCCTGGGAAGGCATCGCAGCCCCAGAATTTGGTTATGCAGGGCTGACTAATGACGCCAGATCGGGAAGGCAGTTTGTTTGCAAGGATTTACTTTGGCAGTAATGTTGATATCAGAAGTCTGAGGGATTCTGAGTAGCCACAGAAGGGCCACGGTGCCCTGCTTTTGTCTTGAAAATATGAAATTGCCTAGGATAAATGGAACTCTCCCTAAGTTGAAATTTTTTATTTAATGTAAACAATGATGGTGATATTTCTGTGCTTTTCATCTGATAATGACTTAGTAGCCTGAGTTCGCCAAACAAAGGGCTCTAGTTAACAGGCAAGAGAAGCCAGGAGTTCTGTTCGGCTTTGCCTCCTTTCTAAGGTGGGAGCTATTTTCACAGTTTGGGTAGTCTAGGGTGACATCTTTCTCTGCAGAGGTAGTTTTTTCATTCGCTAAATTAGCATGTTGCCTATTTGTGGAATGAATTAGTTTTCAAAAGGTCTTTGGTGCCTAGCTCATGCTTTACATAAGTCTTGTTCTGATTTAAAAAGAAAGGGGGGAGGGTGGGCAGGGATGCTGGCTTCCTTAACTCTAAGCAATGCACCAGGTTCATACATGGGTGGCCGGTCCCCAATTTAGGATTGCATCTTTCAGACAATATTTTTCATAAGCTATCCAAGTCAAAGTAGAAGATCCATGAATTACTACCCAATTGTGAAAATCTGTTAACCACCGCAAACATCCCCCCCCTCAGTCCCCTCCCCCACCCTTCCTCTCTTCCACTGCCTTTTCAGGGTAAAAAATCCATTTTGGACCAAACAAAGCAACCAAGAAGTATACCAACCTGGGGTGTGGAAGCCCACACAACCCACTATAGGAAGAGGCTTTTGCTAAACACACACTCGAAGCCCACTTTTGGCATTAGGATTCCTTTTCCAGAGACATTTCTAGCAAGTTCTCCAAACATTCCCAACTCACTAGTCTCCCAGCTGGCCCTTTGTCTCACCCTGGTAAGGGCAGGTTAGCATTTGAATGGACCCTTCCACACAGGTAGGGTCTGCTGGGTGAGGACAGGCTCTCAAAAGAGAACTTCTAGTTGACCAGATGCCAAGTGCCGCCCCTAATATTTCTAATGGAGAGAGAGGGAAGGGGAACACGGACAGAATAAAGCTAGTTAAATATGATGGTACATCCCAACATTCAGGATTTTTTTCCTTTATTACATTAATCATTTGCTTAATGAAATTCTGCTTGAGGGGGGAAGGTGCTCTTGTAATTGAATCCGTTTGTGATGGAAATTTATGTAGCAATGTTCAAATGTGTTGTGTCAAAACCTGATAATGTAAGTTTACATCTAAAAGTTTGTAAACAAAACTATTAATCTATGTTTATCAGAATTGATAATTTTAAAGTTTGGCATTAAGTTCTAAGATGATGTTTTTTTTAATGCACTGGAGCTTTTTTCCCCTGGAACTGCTCACAGCTCTTCAGCTGTCAGCCTTCATTGTTAGCAGCTGTGAGAGAAGGGTTAACAAGGAAGAAAGCTGAAACTTGGTAAGAATGAATTAAAAAAAAAAACAACTGCATGAGTTTTTCTTAATTTATCTGTATTACTGCTGCTCTTCAATAAGAGGGAAGCTATTAAGAGGAAACTGAGCAGAAATCACGGTGCGGGGAAAGCATCTTAACAGGAAGGTGACCTATCACAAAAAACAAATCACTAAAATCAAATTAGCTTCCAGAGGCCAATGATGTCATATGCCAGCTCAAGTACTGCCCTCCTCTAAAATACTGCCCAGCAACGGGGAGGAGATGCTCAAATTACATCTTTAATCCCCATGTTCCAGAATGAGAGATGGAATTTCTTGTCCTGCTGTGGGGTTTTGACACTAATGACTCTATTTCCTAAATCTTGAATCCCCAAACCTAGGCAGTGGGATCTAAACAAAAAGCAAAAAGTGCTGGGCTAGCCCAGGTTGCTTTAGTCCTCGGCCTGTCCAGTGGCTTAGGTCATACCCAGCACCCCTCTGCCTCAGTTTCTTCTAAAATGAACTACTTGAATGAAATGTTCCTTTATCCCTTTCAGATCCAAATGTGTACAGGTTGATAGAAGCCTAGATTGTTCAATTTGATTCTGTCAGTGATTTTGGCACTAATGGAGCCCAGAATTTCAAAAGTTGATCAAACAGAAAGCACCAGCTGTAAAGAAATCTTTTTGGGGGGTGGGGGGTGGGGGGGAGTATTGCCTGATCTAATCAGTTTTGTCAAATCTGCTTTTCAACTAGTGGCAAAAATATTTTAAAGGAGCAGGGAAAAGAATGCAAAATTCTACTGTGTACAATACCTAAACTGAGAAAAAACTGGCCATCCTACTGAGCAGCCTTTGTGTGTGTGTGTGTGTGTGTGTGTGTGTGTGTGTGTGCGCGTGCGCGCATGTATACACGTGCACATGCCCCTTCTCTCCTAGATCTTAGTCTGGAAACAGGCTTTGCAATGCAGGCAGAAGAATGCAAGCACTGCGTAGGTGCCGTAGCAGGACAGGGACACCTGGAAAGGTGGCATGCTGCGGGAACACAAGTGTCTACAGCCTTGAAGATATTATTTGGTAATAGTTTTAAGTGTCCTGATTAGGCTTGACATGGAAAACGGCGTAAACACAACCTTTTCCCTCCCAGGTGTTTTCTCAACCACTTTTTTTCCAAGTTATCCCCTTACCATAAAATTTTAGTATCACAGATACACTATGTTCCTGTTTATGTACCGTGGGATCTGGCAATAGCTAAGCCTTTTTTTCTTTTTCTTTTTTTTTTTTTTTTGCGTGCACATTACACACACACACACACACACACACACACACACAAGCCAAATCTGGCTCTACTGCAAGTGCATGGGATAAACAAAGCAAACATCTCCCCCACTTACAAAATTTGATGAATTTTCCCCAGTATTTGTTTTCTTTAAAAAAAAAAAAAATCAAAGTTTTGTTTTCAGAAGCCCCCTGATGCACTGTGCTGGGCCAAGGGTAGTGCCCGTTAGTTCACATGGCAGGAAGGCCAGAGTAAAAGTCTAGTGACTTAGTTCCTTCAAGGCCAAGAGTCTGCACTGCAGAGCCACTGTCACCTGTTGACACTGCTCAGCCAGCAGAGGCAGGACACCCAAGAGGAGCTGGCGCCATGGCACCCTCCGTCTGCAGACTATTCTGGGTGAACTGAGGAGGCTGCCTTCYAGCTTCAAGTGTGGGCAAGGTCTGGGTGTTTATTCTATGGGCCTATTTTAGGGTGAGTGTGTTACAAATTAGCCAGGGACACAGCTATCAGAGAGGCCAGGGTAAACCCAGGCTGTGGACAGAGGGTAGGTAGTGGCAGTAATGTGGGGACACATTTGAAAAAGACAGGGAAAGGTTTGGGGGATCACAGAGAGAAAAAGGGGGAAGGATGTGGGCA